AAAACAGTATGCTGAACTGTTTATGAGAATAAACTCTCTTAATTTAAGTCCCAGGCAGAGTTGTCACACTGTCAGCTGCCAGTTACCAACATATAGGTATTGTTATGGCAGAGGTCATCAGATGGTACTGATAAACTTAGGTTAGGAGCTCTTTTTGCTTAGCATGAGATCAAGTTTTTAGTCTTGGAAGAAAAGGCCATGTTATTAGTTTTGTGATGCAAATTCTTTAGGGGGATCTATGGTGAGCAGCAAAGAAGTTTACTCTCTGCCTTAATCTCACTAACTAGAATAAATTCTTGAGGCGGGGTTGGAGTTCAAGCTCTGGTATTTGGGCTGAGATACTTGAAAGAGGGGATTGCCTGTGTGCTGCTTGTGACCTTCTCTGTTCAAGGACTGGACTGTATGTGTAAAATAAACCAGTTGCACTAAGAATATACTCAGATTCCATGTAATTGATTTCTCCTCCAATGAAAGCTGACCTGTAAGGTCCTGCCCTCTGCTACCACTGAGCATAGAAGCAACAACAGTACTATGGTCTTGCAGTAAAGAGATTATAGTTAAGATTGCAAAAGAATTTTCTGTTTTACAGGGTCTGTACCTCAGTGCCTCTCCTTTGTTAGGAACCCTCTTTTGTAAACATGCCATGGGAAATTTGAACCAGATTTCAACCACTAATTAACATGTGTGGAATGATCCCCAGTATGTAGTTTGTGTTTGTATGTTGGGTTTTTAGGAAATTTGAGAAAACTTGAACACTGGAAAAACTTGATTTCCCCCTTCCCCACCACCCCCGCCCACACACACACACTCGCTGTCTACTGCTGCTGCCTGAGCAGTAACATTGTGACATCAGAAATAGTCAGCCATTTATCACTCTTTCCCCTGCAGTTCCATTTCAGACTTGGAGAGAGTGCCCTGGTTGTCATGGCAACAGCTGCCTTTGATTATTGATTTACTTCAGGTACCGGAACATTCTCACAGAGAAGGGTCCCAGGAAGAGCTGACTGGGTATGGATAAGCTCCTGCAATGCTCCTTTAGGTTTGAACTGGGGTAAATTACACTGTTTCTTTTCAAAGGATAATTGTTACTGTCCTCAAAAAGGGTTACATGGAAATAAGAAACAATTTACATGACAAGGGGGTGGCATTTTGTATGTGCTGCTTAAAAATGAGAGGAGGATGACTTTCTGAATTAACCTTTTAAATAGGCAGGGAATTATAGCTATGAGTCCCTACTTAGTGTTGTTACACAGTTAAAAACAAGTATCGGGGGTAGCCATGTTAGTCTGTATCCACAAAAACAACAAGGAGTCCAGTGGCACCTTAAAGACTAACAGATTTATTTGGGCATAAGCTTTTGTGGGTAAAAAACCCACCTTGTAAGATGCATGGAGTGAAAATTACAGATGCAGGCATTATATAATGACATGAAGAGAAGGGAGTTACCTCACAAGTGGAGAACAGTTAAAAACAGTTTCATTTAGAAGTTGTGGGAAAACAAAGTTGCATTAAAAGAAACAAATGTGTTTCATTTGATGGCAGTTTAATTTATTAACTTCAACATATTGGTCAACACAGCAGTAAGTGGTGAAATATGAAGCATCACAAAAATAAACAATGCAAAAAATGCATTGAAGACAACAATTGTATAAGTGCTTTATTCTTTAAATTAGGCATAGATATAGAAATATTTTCAATTAAAAAAATAAGGAAATTCATAAACAGAAAAGTTGGTTTAACCTTAGTCAAGGTTGCTCTCATCAATGAACTAAACTGTAAAAATTAGGAAATACAAAGTTAAGGATTGAAAGGTTGCAAAGTCATGCATTCTCAAGTTGCCCAGACAAGCTTAATTCAGCCTCCTTGTATGAATGCATTATGATACAGTCTTTAATTACATGTAGAAGTGACTATCTGTGAAAAGTTTGTGGTAAATAACTTGCCCAGCCTCACATAAGAACTCAGTGGCAATGGCAGGGATCAAATCCTAGTCTTAATGGTGGTATTCAACTGCCCTAATGACAAGACCATCCTTTCTCTTCCTGCAGTCTCCTACCTCCTTCATTACAAACCTTCCAGCTTCTGCAACAAAGGAAGCAAGAGTCCTGCAGACAACAGAGTCCTTCACTACAGAGTTCCAATTCATCTGCAGAGCACATTTGTTCTCTGCTTTGAATGAGTTAGGCATCCTGTGTAATAATAAATAATAATAATAAACAATGGACCATGTAATTAAAGATTGTACCGTAAGGCATACCGCAGAAGGGGACCAAATTAAGTATTCATTCTATCATTTCCTAATTTGGGAGTGCTTGACTTTCAACATTTAATCCTTTTTATTCCTTAGCTTTATTTTCTATGGTTTTGTTTATTGATTAGGGGTTCTCAAACTTCATTGCACTGTAACCCCCATCTGACAACAAAAATTACTACATGACCCTGGGGGGGGACCAAAGCCTGAGCCCGCCTGAGCCCTGCTGCCCTGGGCAGGGGGCCAAAGCCCAAGCCCCACCACCCAAAGCAGGAGGGCCAAAGCCAAAGCCCAAGGGCTCTAGCCCCAGGCGGGGGGCCTGTAACCTGAGCCTTGCCATCCAGGGCTGAAGTCCTCAGCCCTGGGTGGTGGGGCTCGTGCTTCAGGTTTGGCTCTGGGTGCTGGGACTGAGGCTTCAGCCCTGGGCTCCAGCAAGTCTAGCACCAGTCCTGGTGACCCCATGGGGTCCCAACCTACTTTGGGGTCCTGACCCACAGTTTGAGAACCACTGGACCTTAACTAATGGAACTTGAAGTTTTTTGGTTTTGAATTATTATATATGGATGCAGACCATGTTTAGAGCCAGCCATGCCACTAACTAGTTAAAAACTCAATTAAAAGTTATAGTGTGGATGAGGTCAAAATCTTACATCTTAACAGAACTGTAAATGGATTCAAACACTGTTGCATTTATGGTATGATCAATGTAAATTCAAAATGGGGAAGAAAGCTAAAGTGAGGGAAAGACTGCACCTACTTTTTAAAGAGGAAATGATAGCCCAGGATGCTTCTTCAAAATGAAATAGCTCTGCTATAGCACTTGTTCATGTTAAATACAGAACCCAGTTTTTAAGCAATGTGATGGGTAAGCATTGCACATGGTGATAAGTGGTTGCAGGATTGGACCCTTGTATTGGACCTATGCTTTGCAAATCTTGGCTCCAATCCTGCGATCACCTATACATGTGCTTACCTTTATGCAAATGAGCAGTGCCATTGGCTTCAACAAGACTACTCACATCTGTGATATTAAGCACATGGGCAAGTGAATGCAGGACTAGGAATGTAAACTTCTCAGAGTGGGATTTCTGTTCTGTGTTTGGTCCACTCAACCTACTGTAAAATGGCCCAAACATCTAATGGTGCTATATAAATTATATTTTTCTTAATAGTAATCACAACAAGGTGAAGATCCTGATGCACCAAAATGGGATCATAGTACAGAATGAACACAATTAACTGTAGTAACCAAGATCCATATACTATTTCCTATGCTAAAATGTTTGTTATGCCACTATCAACTGTTAAAAGCTACAATATATCGCTCCAGAGGTATGTGAAGAGGTTACTATATAGAGCTTGTCAGCGCTTTAGGATCTTTCCTGTTGAAAGGTGTACAATAAGATATTATTAATAGTTAATATTAGTATCAATGATGCAGCTCTATCATCAGAAGACAAACTAATTTCCCATGGTAGGCATGGTAGTGTTATCAGTCAAAATGACACTGGGAAAAATGAGAGAAACAATGTGGGTGAGGTAATTTCTTTCCTTGGACCTAATTCTGTTGGTGAAAGAGACAAGTTTTTAAGTTTACACAGAGCTGTGTAAGCTCAAAAGCTTGTGTCTTTCACCAGCAGAAGTTGGTCCAATAAAAGATATTACCTCATGTACCATGTCTCTCTAATATTCTGGGACCAACACGGCTACCACAACACTGCAAACTAATGGGGAAAATCTCAGTGAATCCACTGATAGATATTACTTTAGCTACTGCATCTCTAGTTAAAAGAAATGGATAGTAGATAAGAAGATAAAAAGAAACATACCAAATTAACCAAAATAAAAATGAAGTATATGAATGCTAGAAAGGTACAGGTGCATTTTTTGACAGAAAACTCAGACAAAACTCTCACTGAAGTCTTTAATCAGGCAAAACTTCTTCCTGAGCAAGGTCAGTATGAGAAAGTGGAACTGGGATCATTTAGCACGCTACAGACTAATATAATGCTATATGTATCAACTATATTTTCGTTGTGCAACTTGTTTCGTTTGTTGGTAAATGTATAAGATTTTCATCAGTATCATTTTTGAGTGTTAACTATTACAATAGTAAATTGGTTTGTCTTCTGATGATAGAGCCACATTATTAGTAATAAGATAATTGCCAGTCTTGAACAGGACATTTATCTTCCACCAACAACTTAGCATGGAAATAAGGTACTATTTCTAATCACATATCTAAATGTAGTATAATATTTTTCTCGTTAGAATATTTTGTTGTCATATGTATCTCTATAACATATATTGACTAATTTACCATTATTTTAATACAAAAGCTTTTTTTAATTTAATGTGGTAAAAATAAAAAACAAATGTTAAGATGAAACTCCTTATAAGGAGTTTTTTTCTTTTTTACCCCTGTAAATCAAATCACAGACCTTACTTTCTATTTCTGGTGAATGGAGGCACTTTGATTGTGAACAAGTGTCACATTTTAAAATTCCTGAATACTGTAAAAGAGACTGAAATCATGTCTAGAATACAACAAAAATGGAACATTTCAACATTAAGTTCCTTGAGTTTCTAAGCACCAAGTGCACAGAACTTGTTGTGGCTTCCAGGGCTAACATCCCTTCTGCTGGAATTCCAGATAGTGGCAGTCTGCTGAAACATGAGTTCAGTTACCAAATATAGATGAGTGGGGTAAGAATACATAGTCACAGAGGACAGATATAATTCACAGGCCACAGTCGCCTTGATGCTTACTCAGGACCAAGCAATCTTTATTGAATAGTTAAAGCAACTTTCAGCTTTCTTAAGCAAAGAAGGAAAAAGCAGCCTTTCTTGAAATTAATTATATGTGAGACTCTTCAAACTGGCCTAACATATATAAGGTCTGTAATGTGTTTTTTTGTGTGTGTGTGTGTGTGTGTGTGAATTCAATTAATTGTTCTCGGGGAATAATAGCTCAGGGCTTCAAAATCCATAGCAAAATAAGTATTTATTTGTTTTTGAAACACCATTAGAAATTTCCCTTAAACTCTGTTACTCATTTGAGTGGGCTTGATTTTATTTTGATTTTTTTTAATCTATGATTTTTCTTAGCACAATTTTCACAAATTTTAAAGATGTTTGTATTTTTCCTTAGTATTTCTCTTTTCATTACAATGAGAAAGTGAGATCTGTAAAATTACTTTCCATGGTACTCTGTTCCTTACTGTTTATTCATGTAATGCTTTAAACTGATGAATTATTCACGTAGTTTCTAAAAGTGTGAAAATTATTGCCACTGTAATAAAATAGATTTTAATTAATTATTTTACCATGTTAATGGGTATAGCATCTGTGATTTTATATGACAAGATAAATATCAAATTGTACCATGGAAATAATTTGTGCATAATATATCTTCCATAAAGTTAAACATTCCAAGTAATATATATGCAAAATTTTTATTTTCCATGTTGTCTTTAAAACAGTACAGTGCATTAATAATGGTGAATATGCTCATTAGGTAGAAGTGCAAAGCACCATTATAAATATGCTGTTGTCTAACCAATAGATGCTAGAAATAGCATTAGATATTTCTAATTATGATCTTATGTGCTATTTGATAGGGTTAGTGTTATTTTAACTTTATTTAGCTGTGACTTAAAGAAGCAAGTTGTTCTAAATGAAATTTTGGATTCCCTGAATTACAGTGGATTTATACATTACAATATAAGTTTTAAAAGTGTCTTTTAGACCAAAATGTTTAAACTTAGATGCCTAAAGACAGACATGTGAATCCATATTTAGGCACCAAAATAAGTAATCAGATTTTTCAGAAATGCTCAGCACTTCTGAAAATCTAGCCAATTATTTAGATAACTCAATATGGATTTAGATGCCTAACTTTAGGCATCAGACTTTGAAAATTATAACTTTCAGTCATGTGTAAACCACTGTTTTTATCTAATAAGATACATAATGATATAAAGCTCAAATAATTGTAACATTGTTCACAATATAATCATTTTACTAAAAACTAACCATTCTCTGTTATGCTGAGTGGCAAAGGGCCAAATTCTGCCCTGAGCCATATCCCAGTCAGACAACAGAATAGCATAGAGTGAAAGTCAGGACAGTTTAGCTTATTATGATACATTTCACACTGAGATATAAGCTTCAGTAGGAAGAAGAAACAGTGTGAATCAGAGTCATGTAAAGATATGCTTGTGATGCACAATATGATTTAAAGCAGAAATTATCCGTACACAGTAGCATATTTATTCGTTTGAATATGACGTTTTAAAAAATTACTAATTGTTCCAGTGACACAAATTCTCCAGATTTAACTCTTGATTCCCTGGCATTCATCCAGTTGCCTTAACAGCTGCACCTCTAGATCACGTTGGGTTCATTTCTAAAACTGCTAAATTGTAGCCAGTTATGCTGTATATACTTTTTTAGATTTTGTTGACAATATATTGGCATGATTGCTAGATTTGTTCCCCTGTAAATAGGAATAAAGGGAAAGAGACAACCTAATTAAAGCAAGGACTACCCCTATCAACCTACTCTATAAAACTATGCTTCAAATGTTGAACCATAAAACAAACTCTTTGGCTTCCCTGTACTTCCCTTGTATGTGCTTGGCTATAATCCACTGGCAGAGCACACAAAAAAAGAGATATCAAGAGAGGCATATACTAGTCCAAGAATTCAATCAGTCAATCAGCTAATGATTATCTGCTGGGTAAACCCCAGTGAAGTAATTAGAAGTAATTGGAGTGTGCATGAGACAGTGTAAAATATGTCTGAGTGCATCTCATGACTATCAAGCCAGCTAACACTGGGAATAATGTGAACATGCAAAGTTTTAAGCAATCTAGTTTTAAGAAATTAAACTCCCATGGAAATGAGAATATATATATATATATATATATATATATATATATAAAGGTATATATATGGTCATGACAATCAGGGATATTTAAATCACTGTTGTTTAGCTGAATTAATATTCAGCAGAAGCAGTTATCATTCTTGGAGCCAAGTTGTCACCGATGTAGCATCCAGGAAACCAAACAAGCTTCAACTCATGGAACTTCTTGCATATCATTCCATTTGGGGAACGGGTTTTATTCTGCCCCCACAGTACAAGCAAGGAATGAGATGCTTAAAAATGCTGTAGAAAAACTGAGGGGGGTTATAGACAATTTTATCTTTGTACACAAGCTGCTTGGTACAATGTGACTTGCAAGATATATGCATGAATCACACTCCCTTCAATATTGCTTTACTGTATCTATAGTTCATGGTAGTCTGATGTTCTATTAATTTAAATGATCACTGTATATCATAATGCTACCAAGGAACATGCATGTTCCAACAGCAGTGAAGGAAATGAAATATTAACAACCAGAAGATCATAAATAACATGATTAAAAATAATTTTATATTATTAACCAGGAGAAAGCATGGCAATTCTAATCAAGGGAATTCTAGAGACTCCTACTCATTCAGATTCTAAATAATAATAATAATCATTTGTTTAAATAACTTCAATGTTCTCTTATTGTGATTTAATGTTGCAATATGTTATGATTTTGAAGGCAATTTTGTGGGGAAAGAAATGCAGGTACATCATGGAAATGATCATGAACCTAAACATATAATAATAGAATGGGTAAGATTAATGGGAACCAATAAATCACTGAAAATCATTTGGAGGAGATGAGCTAGTGCTAGCCAACATGCAGGGTTAAAACAAAACAAACCCCTTACAAATTCATAACAGGACTGCATGTAGAGGACCCACTCCTGAAACACTTACTTTGTAACTAGCCTTCTCTTGCTCAGTGTCAGTCAGGCCTATTCTAACTCAAAGTGAATGCTCATGCTACAAATAATTCTTACATCATTAGGATTTGACTTTTTTCCACCTGCTTTTGTATCCTGTCATTTGTAAATAATGAATCTACAGTTATATGACACAAGCATATAAAGTGTTTGTTTTATTGTCACACTGCTGATAGAAATTATGTGCATTTTCTTCCAGCATGCAAGACAGAAGGCATGAGCAGGTGGTGTCTCTACCCTTAATGCTAAAGGAGCCTTACTCAGCAGAGAAAAGAGCCCACGAGGATTACTCTGAGAACATGTCAGAGGCTTCCTCCTTTCATGACTTTTTTTATGATTCCCTATCAGGCATACAGGATGGAGAGGTTTCAAACGAGCTATCTGCATTTCTCAGCAAGGAGGAGATAAGTAAAAGCCTTGACCTTGCCAGAGAAGCTATTGGTAATTCAGTGAAGGAGAATCAGAATGTAGAGCAGGAGTTCACTCATCATTTCAACACTTATCCAAACTCATCAGAATATGCTTCTTCTAGAAAGACCAAAGTCCACGAACAAGAAGTTTTGGGGACGCTTCAGCTGAGAGGTCCAAATTCACTATTCAGCACAGCTCAAACTCTCCCAGAGCAACAGAAACAGCAACCACCCACATCCCCTCAGGCAGCAAGCAGCATTTGCACTGTTCCTGGGAGGCAAGGCAGCATCTCGCCCTCGCTAACGGCTAGCCCCAGCTTTATTCGGAGTCTAAGAAATGCAGAGAGATGTAGTCCAAATACGCAGAAGACAAGCCCAAAATCCAAATCAATGTCCCAGGGAGATGCTCCTTTCAGGAACAAGCTGTGTGACAAGGCTGCCATGTTCATTGAAGAACTTTCTTCCATATTTAGAGAAGCAGCAAAGGCAAGAGGCAGGAGTCCCAATGAGGACTCCTCTTCTCCAGATAGTGGATACCTGTCTCCTAAAAAGAAACAGTCAGCCATGATAAATGCCTCAGTGAATCAGAGCCCTGGTAGAGCATATCCAGAGACCAAACCTGAGGCAAAGTTACCTGAGACTCACCACAATGGAGAGCCCTTCCCTGACAGGAAGTATGTCACTCAAGAAAGTGAAACTGCCTTCCACCATGAGCTCACCAATCCGGGTAGCTATCAGTCTTCAGTTCCTCGATTTACTCAGAAACTCCGGAGCCAGGAAGTGGCTGAAGGAAGCAAGGTGCTGCTGGAGTGCAGAGTTGCTGGAAACCCAACACCTCATGTCAGGTAGGTGTATGGCAGTTTAAAATGGTCAGGGTGATATCTTCTAATGGCTGATATCTTCTAATTTTACTTTTGTGGAAGAGTATCACCATGGACCTGCTCAAGGGTAATGTACAAGAAAATTCTAACAGTGCGTGCTGACAGCCAAGTGGTTTTACTAATATATTCATGAAGTGACAGATTTTATCACCATTACCTTGGTGGTTCCTTACTCCACGAATATTTCCATTGATTTCTACTTGCAGAGTAAGGTACTGTTGTCAGACGTCACTGGTGTGGTGCTCTGCTCTGTTCAATGATGATAACGGTCGGCTGCGTGTGTGTGTTCTCCCAGTGTGCTGTCCCAGCTCTGCGCACATAGCTGGAATAGCAGATCTCGAGCGAACCGCCCAATGATCGTAGACTCTAATAAGGTACGAAGGCACCCAGCCAGGTTTATTGTCAAACGAAACACAGTCTCTAGCTCCCCGGATCAGATGTCTACAGTTCTGCTAGTACATATGTGCTCCCTGACAATGGACCAGCTCAGTCAGTGGCAGGATTTGCCACTGCCCCCTAGGCCAGACAAAGATGTCCACATAGGGATGCATTCTTATACACAGGTACAAACAGGTTACACATCACTCCTGACACATTGTGGTACAGCCCCTCTATGCATTAGGGTGCTGCCTCTCCCCTGGTACAGGTTGGTTTGAACAAACAAGTCTATCCATCATATTGTCCTTTTGACCCTGTCTTTAGGATGGGTTCCTTTTTATCTCTGTGAGATGTGTTTGTACCGGGCTGTTCTGGTGCCATCCTCGCACACGTTCATCTTACTAGTGCTTATATGTGTATACGTGTTTTTAGCAGCCTTGTTCTTGCCAACATCTGTGAGCAGGGCCTGCCTCTGGCTCACAGCATAACTTTGCTTTATGTTAGCAAAGTCTTGGCCATTACTTCCGTTCAGGCCTTAGGCCTCATACCGGCCTCTGATACCAAGGGTTTATGTCTCAGGGCCTCATCTTACTACAGGTACTACTCAGTCCAGGTAAGGGTGGCAGAACTAGGCCCAAAATTGGCTTCAGTGGGACTACTTATGAGACTAGTGTCTCACCAATGTGAGTAAAGGGATTCACAATCTGGTCCTTAAATGCTGCAGTCACAAAGACAGTAAGTAAGTGTATACATTGCATTTCTGTCCATCAGTCAGAACATTGGATAAATAACCTGAAAAAACTTTCTAATAATTTTGTCACCTCCAGCCAGAAGTCTTTCAGATTGAGACATTCTCAGAAGATATCAAGATGGTCCCTGTATCAAAACATTTCCTCCAGTATGTCGTTGGAATTTTGAACCTGTATTGTTATGCTTGATGGGCATACTGAAATATCTACTGTAATAACAATTTTCACAATGTTCTTAATTGTTAAATCATACTTGTTAGCTATTATGAGAGTTCTAAATTTTACATTTCTAAAAGCTATAAACACAATTATTAAGGGAACTCAGCAAACAGGGCCGGCTCCAGGCACCAGCTTAACAAGCAGGTGCTTGGGGCGGCCAAGGGAGAGGGGCAGCATCTGCGGCAATTTGGGGGCGGCAGGTCCCTCACTCCCTTTAGGAGCAAAGGACCTGCCGCTGAACTGCCGCTGCCGATCGCGGCTTTTTTTTTTTTTTTGCTTGGGGCGGCAGAAATGCTGGAACCAACCCTGTCAGCAAAATCTGAAAGGTGCTGAGAGCTTTCAGATCCTTTTGAAGCCAATGGAAGTTGAGGGCAATTGCAACTTGCAGACCTGGGCATTTCTTGGAAAGATGTCTGCCAATATTTTGTCTTAAATCAGATGTTTTCTTAAGCATCTTTAACAAGAAAAGAAATTGACAGATCAAAGCAATTATTTTGCAAAGCAACATGTTTTTGACATGATTTTAATACAATTATTCAAGTATTATAAAGTATTACAAAGCAGCTGTACTTCCTTAAATTGAAAAGCAAGTGAGAATGAATAGTCTAAAAATAGCAGACCTTAATAAGGAAGGGAATGTGAAAATCTTTGATGCCAGAAAACAAGCTTAATCTTTAACTGATTTATTTTGGCTTGATTAGAAAGAACTGATAGTCAAGTTATATACTACATTAATGTACTAGAATGAAACAGGTCATAGAGATACTCAACATTTCTACTGAGTTGACTATTTTTACCAGTTCTAGCCTAATATGCCTGTTAATTTAACACTTCAGAATTATAAAGTATAAGTATAGGCACCTACCCTATGCTATGGGTACCTATCCAAAGATTATAACCTAAAATATGTATATGGAATCTTTCTCATACCAGTAAAATATCTGAAAATGGTGAAATATTCTAAGTGCATTTAATGCATATAGCATATAATCATCAGTTGGTAATAACTTTAGATAACTGCTGAGCAGAACTGGAATCAAACCAGTGACCTAAAAGTGAAATGCTGTTTATGATATTATAAGTCCTCAATGAAGATGCAATATTAGGAAAGCAAAGATACATCATTATATTAACATTACAGTATCTCATTGCTATTATTTTGTCTAGCAGTCTTATAGTTACTCTGACCCACAGCTGTGGAGTCATCCATGAAAAACCCACAGCAATGGAAAGATGTGTGCAAAAGCCTTAGATGCTTTCACAGTATTTTTGCATTGCTATTACATTCATCCAGTTAGTGGTGTGTGCAAAGAAGCTACAAGTTCTTCACTTTAACTGACATGACTTTTTTTTTTAAATTCCCTTAATATTGCAGTACTCATTAACTTACAATCTGGTCTACCCCCAATTGTTTTTTTTTTATGTGGTTATATCTTTGATTGGTGATATCTCTTTGTTACTCTTCATTCAGGGACAATAGAAGAGATGCAAAAAATAAAAAAAAATTGTCAGCACAGTTCCTGGACTATGGTATGTGAGGCACTTATGAAAAAACAAATCATGCTCCCTTGTGTGAATCCCATAGAAACGGTGGCTTTTTCCTTTAATGTGAATGGAATGGTGATTTTAGAGATGGGGGGAAGATTTGGAAAATGTGCCCCACCTTGCAATAACAATTTATTTTCAATGCCAATAAAATTCTTCACTGGGGCTTATTGTAATCTTATACACTTTACTGAAGAGGTCACCCTATCACAAGTCAGGCAATGAGAATTTTGACAAAGTATTTCTCTTTAGTGAATAACACCAGGGGGCAGTATAAAGCAGTTTCAATATATTTATTTAGTTAAACATATTTCAGGGTGAACCGTGAAAGCAGTACTATTATCCAGTCAGTTATTAAGAATTTGTTGTTAGACATAGGTAACAGCAAAAATTTGAACCCTCTCAGACTTTGTGGAAGTTTGGACCTAGACCCAGAGTCCATCTCTAAATCTTGTCCAGGTTTTTATTTATTAAAACAAATCACAAGTTGTATTTTAAGTCTCTATTTTAAGAGAAATCACAACTATTATACTATAAGACTATCTAACATTAGCATAGTCTGGTTCATTAAGAAGGCTTCCAAAGAACTGTACATTGTGCACATAAGAATCACTTCACCTCCATTCTTCCTCCCTCCAACACTGAAAAGCAGCCGTCTTCAGGATGGAACTGTGTAACAGCCCATAACAACATCACACAGTAGTTCAACACAGGAAGGAAAAAATAGTGAATCCAGATGAAATTGCAGAAGTAAATCAGAGTAGGCAAAATGTGCAATAGCTGAACTTAAAATGTTTCCTACCATTTTCAGAGAGATTTCTGCACCTGTGTGTGAGAGAAAATATAATGTATATAGGCCCAGATTTTTATAAATGGATGCCTGAAGTTAGTCTTCCCAATCCATATTTAAGCACCTAAATAAGTGGCCTGATTTTCTGAAGTGCTACACATTCAGGAGATCCTACTGATTACATTCAATGGGAATTTCTAGGTATGTGTTACCTTAGAAAACCAGGCCACTTATTTGGGACCTAAATATATGGATTGGGGAAGCCTCACTTTGGACACCCTTGTCCCCAAAATCTTGAATATTAGGGGAATAATGGTAGAAGCAATGAAAACTTTCATACCTGTAGAAACTAAGCATGCCAACTGTATGAAACTAAAGATGCTCACTAAGCTGAAATTTGACCATAATACCAGGGCCAAACAGCAATATTTTTATGGTAAGTGCTATCAATCTTTAGTGACTAAGAGTGTTCAGAATCTTGGTTTTGTATCTCATCTGAAAGGCAGCAACATCAATAGTATAATATCCCCTAAAACAGTGATGCTCAAACTTTTTCAGTTGCATCCCCCCTTAGCAGTAACAGAATCTGTCCATGCCCCTCCCCCCAATTACTGCACAGCCAAGCCTTCCTCAGCAGTGGAGCTTCGGCTGAAAGCAGAGAGCTGAGGGCAGAATTGGGGATGGGGGCGGAGCTGGGGCTACAGACAGAGCTGGTCTGGGGTGGAGAGGGAATGAGGGCAGATCCAGGCTGGGGGTGGTGCGGAGCTGCAGTGGGGTCAGAACTGGTCTGAAAGCAGAACTGGGCCTGGAGACAGAGCAGGACTGGGGGCTGAATGGGGTTGGATGTGTGGTTGTTAGCATGATGCTCCCATAGTTTGAGAACCACTGCCCTGAAACCATGCTGAAGTAGTAGTACAGTAGAACCTCAAAGATACAAACACCAGTGTTCCAGGCTTAGAGTTGGTAGGGAAACTCCCACCTTTTCATGTTCTCTGTATGTATATATATCTCCTTACTATATGTTCCATTCTGTGCATCTGATGAAGTGGGCTGTAGCCCACGAAAGCTTATGCTCAAACAAATTTGTTAGTCTCTAAGGTGCCACAAGTACTTCTTTTTGCACACACAGACTAACACGGCTGCTACTCTGAAACAAATTACTGTTTGTAGTTTTAAAAGGTGCTGAATATCCATCAGCTCCCCTGGACTTCAAAAGTAGTTGCTGGATGTTCAGAAGTTTTGAAATCAATTGCTTATTTAGGTGCATAAAAATATATTTAGAA